TGCTGACTGCTGCTGTGCTCGACATGCCAGAACTTCAATACAAACTGGAGTCAAAAGGAGCCAAATGGTATGCTACAGTTGATATTGCTAATGCATTTTTCTCAAACCCTTTGGCAGCAGAGTGCAGGCCACAGTTTGCTTTCACTTGCAGGGGCATTCAGTACACTTGGAATCAACTGCCCCAGGGATGGAAACACAGCCCTACCATTTGCCATGGACTGATTCAGACAGCACTGGAACAGGGTGACGCTCCAGAACACCTGCAACATATTGATGACATCATTGTGTGGGGCAACACATCAGAAGTCATTTTTGAAAAAGGGAAGAAAATAGACCAAACCCTTCTGGGAGCTGGTTTTGCCATAAAACAAAGTAACATCAAGGGACCTGCACAGAAGATCCATTTTTTAGGAATAAAATGGAAAGATGGATGTCATCAAATCCCAATGGATGTGACCAACAAAATAACAGCTATGTCTCCACCAACTAGTAAAAAGGAACACAAACTTCCTTAGGCATTGTGGGGTTTTGGAGAATGCATATTCCAAATTACAGTCTGATAATAAGTGCTCTCTACCAAGTGACCTGTAAGAAGAACAATTTCAAATGGGGCCCTGAGCAACAACAGTGCTTGGTTGCCAACTGGGGCTAAAACACGACACTTCCCCGTGTACAAATAAATACTGTGGTGAATAGAGACATCTGCCAGGTCCACAGTCCGTTTCTTATCCTACAATTCTTATCTGAATGAGGAAAAACAAACAAACAAAAAACCCCACCTTCTGAAAAGCTGCAGCTTTGACTTCTACTGAAAGAAATAAGGCTGAAATAGAAAATGTCTTAAATTACTTTCTCCATTACAGTCGGTGGAAAACTAGTCCTCAAAAGTAAGTGTAGAGAACAGAGATATTACTACTTTCCCTATGCCTTCAAAGGACACAAACTCTTTTAATTACAAGAAAGGATGGAAAAGGCTGGAAATGAACTATTTCCACCTGACACCACTTCTGATTCACTGTTGTATGCACTGGTAATGCAGGATAATAAACATCAGCCATGCTGAAAAGTGAATCAAAACCCTGGATGACAGAAACAGATTTTTAAGAGAATGAAGCAATCAACTATCTGGGAAATTCACACATACGAGGTGTCCAAGTCCCTTTGGACCTCAGGAAAGTCAGGAGTTAAAGGCACGAGAAGACTGACAGAGGGACGGCTGTATGTCACAAGCTAAATCTTCCCTAAGATATTTTGCTTTTAACAGCAGCTGAGTTCCTAACATAACATCTCTCACTGGCTACCAAGCCACTTCAATACAGTTATCAATTATTAGTGACATAAAAGGCATCAATTACCGATCCAGAAAATCAGCTTCGTCTTCCTTGGCCTCTGCATGAAGTCAGTGAGGCAGATGTGGAGCACACATTGCACACTGGCACACAGAGGCAAATACATTTACTCAGCTGATACCACAAAGCCCAGACTCTGGATGCTCCGAAGACCAGCAGAATTTAGCATCTCCAGCTCTTGCATTGCCACCTCGTGGCTAATGCGCGTATAAAGTCACTTTGCGGTGGGGAGAAGGTGAGGTGACGTTGCCTTGTACTGCGTAACAAGCACAGAAATGCTGGCATAAATCAAAGCAGAATTTTAACTTTAGTTGCATTTAGTAATGATATTTGACGTGAAAACTTCAGTAACGCACCATCCCCGTCCCCCCCCAAAGTTGTGATGTGTCAGTCGTGCAGTCCTCACTTTGCCTGGCACTCTTGCTGGGGAGGGGGGGCACAAAAGGCAATGTTGCCACTAATAAGTAACCACAAAATTAATCCGATTAAGTAATCCTTCTGGGAAATTCTTGCAATAGTTGCCAAGGCCTCTGGGAGATTTGAAATTCAATAGTTATAGAGACAATTGTGGTTTACAGGAAATGTTACCTTCTTTTTGAATTAGACCCTACAATACTGTAGTGGTTGAATTTGATTGTGTCCACATCTACTTGAGAATAAGGAAAGGCAGAGGATCTATCCACCCAACGAAGAACAAGGAGGAAAACATAGGTGAAGGGCTGCCTACCACTGGCAGGGACATCAGTCACTGACCAGAGAGCTGTGTGGGCACTCACCACTCTCCACAGAGGCCTCTCATATTACCTTTTTATATTGACTTTATGGCAGTTCCCTGAACTCTCCAAGTAATTTTCTTCGAACGACCAAGGTGGTTATATACCTGCACTGGCAAGCAGAGGGAGTTTCAGCTTTCACATATGTTTTTACAGTCTGAAAGCAGAATGTTTTCTTCCTTCCCTTCAGTCTCAGCACCATCCCAAATCCAAAATCAGACAGCCAGGATAAAAAGCTCATCCTTGAACAACTTGTTTGGAAAAAATAACATTCTTGTTCTCATTCTCTCATTATTAGCTCTTGTTAGTTCTTGTTCTAATTTATGTTATTCATGTAATTTATCCATGTTATTGTCATGAAAATAATTATCCTTTTGTGGCTATGCTATTTATCACAAGGAAGGCTAAGCCTTTATTATCAGTTCTGTATTTTTTCATGCAAATGCTTGCAAAATGCCTGCAAAACCCATTTGCTTACAAGGCTAAGAAAAATTGCTTTATGATTTATAGGAAGACGATCACACACAAAACTTGATGACTTATAATAACAATGCTAAGCACCTTAATCATCCCTACCTAAAGGTATCCACATTTCCTCTCCTTAGGCTTAGCCTGTCTTCTAAAAGGATTAAGTCCTGAACACTTCCTGCTTTCCCTGGTTATGTTACTGGTTTCCCATAAAAGAAGATTACCCTAGGCTTTGTCTTACTCTTTTAAGTGAATGGTGCTTAGAACAAGTAATTTGACAGTTGCACTATGGAAGCGTGGTGAAACAGTTGTAAAAATTTTCTCAGTAGTGCCACAAGCAAATATTTTGCTAAGAAGTGATACCAACCTCTGAGCTTCGAGGGAAAAAAAAGCTCTCTGTGCATATACATGTTGTGTGATTACCTAAACCTCAGGGTCTTTAACATACTATGACACTTCTTGTTAATTATACATTATATCCATACACATAAAAATATACACAATTCAGTGATTAAAAAGGCCAGCATCTGACATGTACAAACTTCATCTCTGATCGGCAAGTTCTAGCATTGTGAAGTGAGTCAGATGCAGTCTAACAACGTTGGCTGGAAGAAAATTAGTCCTTTCAGCAGTCTAGCATTCTGTGCGAACTTCTCCTGCACAAGTTCGTGCTCCATCTTTTCCAGGGGTGATGGGCATGCACTTAAAAGATCAGACTGGGATGCAGTTACAATTGTGATTACATTTCTGATGGTTTCATGGGTTTCTGGATGACCATGGGGAAGTTGCTGCAGTTAAAATGGGAGATGGACAGCATTCTTCAAAGAGTTTCTTTATCTTACTCAAAAATTAAGCCTGTGCATGCATGACTTTGCAGAGAATGGAGAAATTTTGGACTTAGGATACTATCATGTTATTTTCACATATAGCATTTAGCTCTGTAAAGGTCCTCTTACAGGGTGCCTGTAGCATGGCTTAGTCACACCTACATCGTATAATGAGTGGCATGTCCTTGGGAATTCCAGCCACAATTCATGCCCTCGCTGCATGCATACACACTCACACACGCACTGCTCTGCTGCCCTGTATGAAAATCTTCTTTCTGCTGCTGCCTTCCCAGTTTCCACGCTAAGCACAGAGCCTACACATGCCCTCATACCAGAATACAAAGGGAAAGGGTGAAATGAAGAACAGAGGTTTGTCCAAGACTCACACGTACCTTGTGCGAGGGAAACAAATACATGCCCATTCACAGCAACATCCACTCCAACATGGGTACCAAGTACAATCATGGCATGGGCCTTGCCATTTGGTTTGTGATGGTATGGTCTTACCATCTCCAAAGGGAACACAGTCAGAGGACACATGTTGAGAACTGCAAACAAATTTATTTGTTTTAAAGTGACATAACCTTCCATTTAATCCCATGCAAAACACTTAGATGATCTCACTCTAAAGAGGCTGCGTAAAAGGAGTAATTGCTGAAAGCTAACAAGCCACAAATAATAGCATTCACACAATGATTTTTAAAAATCCAGGGGATTTTCATAGTTGATTCTGGGTTTGGGGTTGTCCTAGGAAATCCCAGTATTGAAACTGCAGTTGAGGGAGTCTAAAGGCAAGGACAAAAGCAGCTGTCAGCACCATAATCTGCAGCCCCCTGGCTCATTTAGAGCAAAATTATTTAGCCTGCAAAAATACAAAAGCACATTCTACATTAATTGGTCTGGTGTTTCAAGGATGGAGATCAAATTTAAGTCTAAAACACTATCAACATGGCACAAAGACCGATCAAAAAAAGGTATGCGCCTATCAGAGGACATATAAAGAGGCTCATGAATAAGAAACAAAATTAAACAATATAACACACCAGAGAAAAAGGGGAGAAGGAAGGGGGAAGCCACAAAAGCACCAAATACCCCTGGATGGAGAGATACAAGGAAACAGGGAACTAGTGACTTTTCAGCTAAAAAAAATGATAGGCTAAAAAAATAGATATAGTGAAAAAGAAGAAGATCAAATGAAATAAAATAAATGGGAGGGAGGGTGGGAAATCACAATAAAGGAAAAAGAAAAATCCTTATTCAAATGCTCTGGCTAATCCAAGAGAAGAAAGGCTGCAGAGTGAATGAGGACTGCAGAAAACAACCACTGCCTTCATGGCTACAGGCACTGCACAGTTAGGCATGACTACCCCTTAGAGGTACATCGAAAGCAAATGCCTTTCCCACCTTTAAGCCACAGACAGAAGCAAATCCCTGTAGAACACAGCAGAAGCAATAACAAGAAAAGAGGTGGCAGGGGGAATGGTATGAGGTGTGCTTCTGAAAAGGAGTGGACACAACCAGAGAGGCCACCATCGCAAGGTGATTATACCACCATCACTGAATATACTGGGGGGCCTGGGAGCATTGGATCCTAAAGCTCCTGTTGATGTTGTGGAGGTTTATGAGGTTCACCATCAGCAGCAGCCACAGACTGCCCCTCTGAAATGAAAGGAGAAGCACAGGCGACATGAGTAAGGAACAACTGGCAGAAATGAGCGCTATAACTGAATTAACTAGTTCATTGCAAAGGGAAGGTTGCTAACAAGATGCAGCATCTCAGAGATTTCAAAGAAGTAATTTGGTACAATCATTGTATCTTTTCCGCTTCCAAGTTGGTGTGAGCTGTCCCTGTTCCAACAGACTGTTCCTCACCACCTACGTAATCAAAATGCTCATGGTCTGGGTTTCACAGTTAGCACAAGCCATGATCTCACTTGGTTTAGTTTCTTCCACTCCGCCTCTGACATGGTCATATTTCAGAGCCAGTCGTAATTGTAGTTAAAAATTAATATGACTTGCCCTTTTCATATTTGCTGTTATCTTATTTGGACATCATTACCTGAAGGATCTTCAGTTTGTTCTCTGGATTGCTGATAAGAAAAGAAAAAAAGACAGTGAGTGACAAACGTATAACACACACCATTAAACAGTATGAAAGACTTTTCCAAATAATTTTCTGATTTATTATTTCTATTTTTATATTAGCTGACAAGCTTTTTTTTTATAAACTAAATCATCTAGGATGTATGTTAATAATGTGCTAAAAAGCCTCTAAAAATCAAGCTCATTGAAAATAATTTGTGTTAGTGGGCTGTTTTGGTAAAAGAAAAAATAAATCTACTTCACTAACTCTCTCATATCAATAAAACTATGGTCTCAGTTCTACAGAGATCATGTGTAAGAATGAAAACCAGTGGTAGATGAAAACCAGTAGTAGTCTCAATGCGCTCCATCTATTAAATACAGCTGTGTTAATGCAGTATCAGATTTGTGACACAACTTATGGCCAGTGACATATAAACATATTCAGACTTAGATTTCCTGCGGCAACCCCGTTTGACTGCTTGAAACTGAATATCACTTTCTTATTGGAAAGGAGAGGCCTTGAATGCAATACATTTCCATGTTTTAATGTTTAATGCCACTTTGGGGAGAAGTTGTCATGCTTTTTGGCTCACAGACCACCATGCACCCTGTGTTGCTAGTGAGAATTTTGCAGCTTTAGGAAATTATGAATTCAGAAGAGAGCAAGCTGTGGCACTGCCTGCCTTGCACTGCTTGTTTGGCATCGCTGTTCTTGGGCCAATGCACCTAAGAGGCTTCTTACCTTGCAATGGCATATGTGTCATGCTGGGTATTTTACATCCAATCCTGTTCTGATCTACCCAGCCTCAAGAAAAGTATTAAAAATGTCTTTACTCACAAAAAAAAAAATGTTATTCTTAGCTTAGATTAGGTGATGAACCAGTAAAACACTTGTGAGTCATCCTATGTTTTTAATACTGTTGCAAACTGGAGTGAATTTATGAAGTTAATTCAGGAAGAGACAGTATGAACAAAAGGAAGAGTAAGCAAGGATTATCTGCAGTCAGTGACCCCTACCAGCACAAAGGGATCTAACCATCCACTCCAGCTAGGCACTCACCTGAACCTACAGCAAGTAAGAGCTTTCCATAGTCTTTTGCTTTTACTAACAGTTAAATGTGCTACAGAATAGCAACTTCAGCTGAGGGTGAGAGCGGTGCATGGGAGAACATTATCAGGCCTTTCACAAGATAATGGTTATTTTTTTTGTTTTCTAATGTGCAACAGCTAGATATTCTCTTCTTGTCAGTATCATTTGGATAGTGAATAATCTAAACTTTTCTCATTCTGTACAGTATTTTCTCTTTTTGTTCTCCCCATTGTATTATCACCTCTACACATTACTTCTAAGACAAAACATACAAAGATTTTAACAATGTTCTTAAAGTCCTTACCACTGTCTCAAAGGTAAGAGCTGCCCCTGCTAGGGTATTTAGACTGTAAGACAGGCAAGCAGGTAGACCCTGGATTTCTAGAGGGCCGTACAGATGCCTTTAGCAGAGCATGAGCTGTTCAGAAAGAGTATGTGGCTTCACAAAGAGGGAGGAACTGCCACAGCCAGTGCTGTCCCTATGTAGGTGGACAGGAGAGCAGAGCCTACTTTTGGAGGCAGGAGGGCAGGGTGGGCCCCATGAAGCTCCATCTAAAGGCTGTGTGCCTTGGTAGGCAGGACCTTCCCCACTTGCTGAAGGACATGAAGGACAACTTGTGAGCATGACCTTTCATCCCTGTCCCCTTCCCCTTCAGAGTGGGAGCAGCCATCTCTACACCCATGAGAAGTACCCTTCCCTTGGCACTCAGCCTACCTCCGGTGGTACAAACAAGGTGGAAGCTGGCAATGCAGAATAAGGCCCAGCCTGAAACTGTGAAGAGTGTGCAGTTCCTCCCCAGCAAAGGGAAAAGTACAAGGTTTTTAGGAAAATGTCCTCTGGAAGGGGACAAAGGAACAGCAAGCCTTGAACCATGACACACGTCTCTAATATCACCTACATTTCCATCTCGGCGAGGCCAGATGACTTTTGCTATATTCTTTGCTCGGATCAGTTTCAGACAGTCATGGCAGGGCTCACGTGTAGTGATGAGTTCAGCATTACACAGGTCTCTCTCAGAACTGGAAAAATACAATATTGTCACAATTACAAACAAGACGTGTTTGCAGGAGGAATCATTTCTCTTGGAACCTAGAGGGGGTTCTCCTCTTTTTTTTCTCTTCTATCACTGGCCAAGGGAGGTGAGTAAAGGTTTTCCAGCCCATGATAAGCAAATACTTGCAGTACGGTCCATGAGCTTGCCAGCTCAGGAAATGGATCCACCTACTTTTTGGGTATGCACAGCACCGTAAAGACTGATATTCTGGTTTATGAAATGCCTGTCCAGGGATCATTTCACCACCAAACCATAATGACCTAAGTATGAGAGCAGATGACAGCAGAGCACTCAGTCAACACACTGCCCACTAAGCAGTTGTCAGAAGAGGGACCATCAGCTAGGGCCATGTGCACATGCATTTGCAACAGCACTGTCAGTCTGCAGAGAAATTTCCCATAGCCAGGAAACTTCATGAAACTCAGTTTGCCTGCGTTAAAGGAGGCAGTTCAAGTTGATCACTCAGCTGTGATGCCCTGCATTTCCAATGGCAAAGTAATACCAGAGCCCACACAGAAGCAATAGCTCTGCTGCTGGCTACTCCTGCCTCCAGCACATGTGAAGACCCCTGTCCGTGACTGCCCACGAGGTCAGAGAGAGGGGACTAGCAGGAACCTCTGAGACTCTGCCACACGTTTGCTGGGTGTATTAGAATATAAAATCACATGGACCTTGATCTCTGTAAAAAACAATTGTACTCAATGCTTTATAAGACTAAATTCCTTCCCATGCTATGTAACATTACTTCTCCTTTCTACGCTTTGGAAACTCCCATGGTAGATTAGTCAGAGAGCTATTTCTTCATTAATGAAGCACCCAACACCAAGACTTTTTTCGTCCAATTCCTTCAAAATATTTAATGAGTTCCTACCTCATAATAATTGCATTAGCTTCTGCACATACAATTGCATGCTCGTCAAAATCAACATCTCCCCTCTTGCAAAATAAATTGTTCATTGCCCCTTTTGGATATCCACTGTAGCCCAGCGCATCCTAGAAAGAAACAACAGAGAAAGAAATGATTGAGTGTGGATCCTAATCGTATATTTGTATGACGTGAACTTTCAGAAAATCATGAATTTTTTTTTTCAAAAGGATAATTTGTCTCTGTTTCCAAAAATACATTTTCCTATGAACATGAAAAACAATGGTTATAAAATTCATCACAGGAAAAGTTGATTAGGAAATAAAAATTAACACAAAAGAGGCTGCTAAACACAAAGTCACCGAAAAGATTTGGAAAATGTTAGCTACATTTTCTTAGCTGTGTCCATTTTGGAATCATATAAAATAAAAATAAGCATGGAATTTTAATATGATAATAGTAACAATGTCATCAGGCACATCAGCTCATTACTTTAAAGTTTAGCAAACATGGGACTTCATCTCTTCTAACTGCTTACTATATATTAAATAATCCATCAACTTAATGTTCTGGGACAGAGGGAATATAAACTTTTTTTTCACAAAATGTTGGTTTATATTACTGCAACTCCCACATTTTTAAGAGAGTTCATACGATGCAAGTTAACTTCCTCATCTACATGCGTAAACACAAGCCTAGTAAACTTAAAGTGCATTTCTTACGGCAGAAATGGGCTTTTAAAAACATTTCTGTGCCTCATAACATATTATATAGCAATCTTACAAGTGTTATTTTCATATGACAATAGATCAAAATTAGGCATTTTTATAAGAAGAGCACAATTTCCTAGTCCACATAAACTTATACTTACAATGTTGTCTTCCTTGTAAATCAACGTCCCCACTCCATTATTATTGTCTGAGGATAAACAGTCAAATAATCAGTTATAAATTCATACAGCATTAAAATATTACAACGAACCTGCTGGTCAAAAGGTATGACATTGTTACTCATGCCTGCTGGTCCAGAGAGATGCAGAACAAATCTGTTGGGACAAAATTTGCTGTTCCTTGCTCAGCTGCCTCCAGAAAATGTTGAACCAGGTAAACTGCTGACAGGAAGACTAACCAGGCTAATCAATGCAGTTACCTCCAGTCCTCGTAGCTCTCTGTCTCCTCTAGTCCATCCCAATTGCCTTATCTAGTGCTCTTGCATAGAAGTACCAAAACCATTGGCCTTCCCCACTGCTGAGACTAGCATGTCTTACATCGTTGCAGCTCAGGAGGAGTTTAAAAACTGTTTTCTTTTCCTGAACAGCAAGTTCTGTTAGATCTTACTCAAGGCACAGGCACATGCAATGGCATCTACTGCCCAAGATCTCTCCCTCTGTCTTCCCCCTGCAAAAGGAAACAACCCCCAAAAATTGTCTTTTGTGAAAAAGGGAAAGTAAAACTAGAAACTTTCCACTTTCTGGTGACCCAGGGGAGCTGGTGCAGGCGTGATGCTGACGGTGAGTCCTGATCTGTGATAAAGTGGAAAACGCCTGTTGTGCTGCTGAGCGAACCCTATTCTTAACCTGTACAGGTGCAACTGAACAAAAGAAACCCAGCCTAATATCTTTGGTGTAAACAAGGACAACCAACCAGACTAATGGACAAGATGAGAAAGTAAGAGATAATTCTGTCCGGTTTTGTTTTCTTTTTACCTGTTTTAGCAGTGTTTCAGTTTTGCAAATCTTTAATGCAAGAATAGGAAAGCTCTCCAAAAATGGAACTGCCTGCCTGCCATTTGATACCACAGAGAAACTCTCCCCAACCAGAGACTCTTGCAATCAGCCTAAGGAGTTAGAAATCCCCTCCTGGTGAGGAAGACAGGAGAAACACATTCCTCCAGTTTGGCTAGCAGTATGGAAAGAGCCCAACTAAGTACCTCTGCACTGTGTTTCTTTGGGTCTTACTCAGCCCTGGGGCTTGCACTGGAGCAACTCTACCTTCAGCAAAGGAACCTCTATTTGGTAGTAACGATACACTCTGTTTTTTCTTAGGGAGATTTTTGCCTCATTTGCACTACCAGCCTTCTTCAGATAACCTGCACACATGTTGTAAAACAATGATGCTACACGAATTAATTTTGTAACACAGGAAATGCCACCATGATACTAAAGTTGACTAACTATGTAGAGTTTAATGAATTAGCTAACAGAATGCAATGTTAGCAATTAAAGATTTTTTTCAGTACATCTCCAGGAATACGACTAACAATTATGTAGGATTTTTCTACACTGTGTGAATTACTGAGCTAAACTTAGTAATATTAATTTACTTACCACTTCTGGACGCTAATAAATCACAGAGCTGTAATGCATGGGTGTATTTAGGATTATTCTTTACAGTGGATTCCTTCTCTTCTAAGATTATTATTTCTTCATCTTTGCAACTTGCCAGAGTTTTAAAACAAATCTTTGCTGTATTGAGATTTTCTTTGTATTTTTTCAGTTCGTTGTCTTTCAGGTGTTGCAAGTTAAGGCACTTTAAAAGATCCACATCAATTTTCCCATCCAATACAGATGTAATTTTGATTAGATTATCATCAGAAGATGCTCTTTTATTTGAATTAAGTATCTGCATCTTTTTTTGATTGTCTATGGTTGGTACATATACTGCTGCAACAACATAGCTTTCTGTGAAGATGGCTAGATCATACCCCTGGTTCTTTTCTGCCATTTTCATTTCAAAATTTGGCCAGTAATATACTTGTGAGACTTGTGCTGAATAAAGAAAATAGATATACAAGATTAATATTAAATAGGAAATATACTAGTACTCATTTTTCCCATTAATAAATGTAAAAATACTACTCTAAGAAAGCTGCAGCTTTCCCCCCATTAGTAAAATAACATATTGAAATTTTTATTTACTAACACATTATTTTCACAGGAAAAAAGGAAACTCTATATACAATTTATGACTTTTTTTTTTTCCCAGGTGGTTAAACTTTTGTCTCTACTTATATTTACCAAATGGTACAAATTTCCAAAACAAGGAGAGATACAGGAAGTTATTGAAGTTACTGTAGAGGAAAAATATGTATATCAATTAGGGACCTAAAACCCCCAGAAAATTCAACAGGTAGGTAGGGCGTTACCATTTGTGAAGTACTACAGATTAACTTTTCTGCAAAAAATCTACCTACTACCCTTGTTATCCTGAACATTAATACCTGAGGTACATTTCTCATCTGATGACTTAAATGGGAATGGCTGATTTCTTTTTGTTTATTATATTGGGTTGATCATCTATGCATTATTTTTTCAGGATTTCCACATCCCTTGGGACCACTCCTTTAATTTTTTTTCTCATTTAATAAATGTCTCTACAAGTTCTGGTGGCTCCTTCTTTGTTTAATGATTCGCACTCTTCATGATTCATGTGTTAGTAAATACCAACAATTTGTACAATGACATTATGAATCACATCTTAATATTCTCTAATAATCACAGCTACCTATTGGATAAGATATTGAGCTCCATCAGTTTCTGACAGTGATCTGAATGATTCATATAGAACCAACTGAGGAAAAATGCAGAGAGCAAAATGGAAGAAAGTAAAGAGGAAGAGAAATGGCTGGCATGACTAGCTCAACAGCCTGTGAGTATGCCACATGTGCAATCTTAGTCTAGGAGATATTTCAGTTCTGACACTGACCTTGAACCAGTAGTTTTGCACAATTATTGCAAGGCATCCGAGACATGTAAACTTCACAGCCTTTCAGTGCATTAGGAAACCTTAACAGCACTTTTGGCACAGCATGCAGTTCCCCTGTTGAGCAGTCCATGGCAATAATCCTTTTTGGCTTGCTGGCTTCACAGACAACAATTCCAGTTTTGCAATACTGCATAGAAATACACAAATAAATGCACATGTATACAAATGAATGTATAACCATTCACTGAATGAGAGTCCCTCCAGATTATGTGTATGTAAAGTAACAGAAACCAAAAGATCCCAAAGAAAAAGAATGGCATTTCTTGCAAACGGGTTGTTGCAGTCTAGAAATGTGCTGATTCCTATGGATTTTCAGTCAGTTCCAGTGCATCTACAGCACATAACTCAATTGTTGTATTCTAGCTCAACAGCACAAGTACTTTGACTGCCATCCAGAAAGGGGTAAGAGGCAGACATTCGAAAAGTCTGTAAGTCTGTAAAATCAAAAAAAATGTAGGGAGATGAATATCCCAACAGCTGATGTAGCAGACTACCAAAAGAGGACAAAGGAGTGACAAGGTGTAGTTTCAAACAAATGCCAACGCTACTCAAAGGATACTCACAGTAGGAACCATCAGACATCTATGTAGCTTCAAAAACTCAAACAGCTTTGATTTATCAAAAATTTTTAGAGTCTAAGCATACAATAGATTAAAATCCTAACTGCGGGACTGTGGCCCACAAGCGACCCACACTGGGGCAGGGACACTCCTGAGGGACCACAGCCAGCTGACAACTCATTCCAGGACAGGGACAGTAGGAAGCATGGAGGAGCAAAGGAAAACTGGAAAAAAGCACAGAGGAGCTGCAGACAAATCATCATGCACACAGCCACAACGTCCTGCACCACCATCGCCTCACTGAAGGAATTGGGACCGACCAAGAGTAACCTACGGTGAAAACAAGGGAAGTTCAGACTAGAAAGATGGGATGGTATGTGGCTTAAGCTGAACCTGAAAAAGATGGATGGAGGATGTTTAAACTCCTTATGTTTTCTTTCTTTCCCTCCATATCCAATTCAGCAAACATAAGTTTGTATTTATTGGCAATAAATTCAATTAAGTAAAAAGTCCCCAAATTAAGATCATTTTTCCCACAACACCAAGTCAGTAATTTTTGAATCAAGATCCTATCGGACACTATGGCTTGATAACAATGAATATGCTTGAGCTGACTTAACTCACGGATTTCAGTGGTTCGCCTGGTGAGTTTTCCATATGTAGTGCTAAGAAGATGCACAAGTCTTCTTTCTTCAGGTGAGGAATAGGAGGATCTAGAAAGAAACAATGGAAAGAAAAGTTAATCAAAACAGTCTTGGAGAAAAAAGTAGGGGATATCCTAAAATTAGCAAATAATTACTGGTAATGAGATAGAAAGGATAATTTGCTAGCTCTCTAGTCCTAGGTGAAAACTTGGGGAAAAGGGTTATAATTTCTGTGCATGTTGAACTAAAAAATTTTTTCTTAATCATGTATCAGACTTCGACTGGCCAGTTACTCTGCAAATAGCCTTATCTTTGCACTTTATTCATCAGCATATTCATTTATGCCTGCAAGTTCTCTGAGGCAAACAGTAATGACTGTCGCAGGAGCTTTTGCTTGACAGAGTGCAGAGGTATCCTGGATCTCTTGTTTTCTGGGGGTTTTACGCTATCTACCCTTTTCTGATGGCATAAGGAATGATTTCTACTGACTTCAAGAGGGACGAAACAGTATGTGAATATCCAATATCTGGAATGGCCAACTCCATTCCCCCATGTCATACTATTCTTCAAAATTTTATCTTCCAACTATCATAGTACAAAACCTTCCCTTTCATGTTATATTTTCTGCTAAGATTCCAATAACATTAGGTAAGACTGAAAAAAAAATATACAATTACTTTTACTTAAAGTAAAATTAAAATGAAGACAAATATGCTGCCAGAGAGATATGTCAGAAGTTTGTGCATCAGCTCTCTGTGCTGTCTTATATCCAGCTCACTGCTTTCACGAAAATTACATTTATTCAACCCTGTTTAAGGAAATGAAATTAGGGAAACCAAAACCTATGATAGTGAAAAGTTTACTGAATTTATTTCACTTTGCCTTCATCATGGCTTTCTTCTGCTCCTCCATTGTCATTTGAATCACTGGGTACTGGAAGACAGAAAAGAAAAAGGTCTGATTAGGAATATCACACAAGAAGAGATTACATGAAGTGTAGCAGTGTATCAGCTCTCCTCCTCTCATTATCAACACTGACAGACTATCCACTGTGAGTTGGTCAACATCTCAGAAGCCACGATTGGTTTGGAACAATGTTTGACAGTCAGGACATCAAAGTCCAGGCTCTGATACTTTATTCAGATAGAAACTATATTAAAATTAATGGGAATTTCCCAGACATAGAACAGTTAACTAAATCTCACGTAGAAATAAATATGGCTCCCTAGTGGTGGTGGTGACAAGGGGCTTGGGGTTCTGTTGTTGGGTTTTTTTTTAAGTTTGAGTTCTGCCTTTTTAACCTACAATCCATAATGCTTTCCTCACATACAGAATGGCCAATACCTACAGTGTCTCCTCTCTCCCTTTGCTTTCAGACTCAGGACTGCCTCTTCTTGTCTTTGATACTGAGTTTCTGCTTGTTCATTCCTGCCACCCTGCCATCCTCCTTATATGAACTTCATCATTCTGGTTCTCACTCTTCCCATCAGTTTGATTACATTCTACTGCAAATATATACTGTTCTCCTTGATTTTAAAATAATCTATCCCTTACTCCTCTTCAGTTACGTAGTTTTCCCCAACTCACTTGTCCATCATATCTTCACACTCCATGATGTGGTCAGCCACATTTTTGGAGTTTCTAATTTCAGTTTTACTCCAATTCTTGATTTGATTTCAAATACCTATTCTCCCTCAGTAAGGGCAATCAGGCTTCAGTTTATAAATCATTAAGACTTCAAAATTTTAGTTCAGTTCTAAGTTTGGTTTTGCTTAAACCAAGCAAAAAGCATACAAGACTTTGTGTATTCTCAAAATGTTGTGCAAACTTCTGTTACTTTTTACTAGTGGTCTAGTCTAAAGAAAATTGTAAGTTATTTGAGAAAATTTCAGTATTAATGACATTATTCTGTGGTAGGAGACCCGACTCCCCAGCTGGTATAACTCAGAAGAGTGTAAAGCCAGTGGCATGAGGAGAAGACTCAAGCCCAGTATCTCCAAGGATTTGGATATGTCCATTTAAGGCTAGAAGAAGTGTTGGAGCCAGTTCTGTTTAACAACTCTATCAAAGACCTGGACGAGGGGATTGAGTGTACCCTCAGCAAGCTTGCAAATGACACTAAGCTGGGTGGAAGTGTTGATCTGCTCAAGGGGAGGAGGGCTCTATAGAGGGATCTGGACAGGCTGGATCAATAAGTTGAGGCCAACTGGATGAGGTTCCACCAGACCAAGCGCCAGGTCCTGCACTTGGGTCACAACAACCCCATGCAATGCTACAGGCTTGGGGAAGAGTGGCTGGAAAGCTGCCCGGCAGAAAAGGACCTGGGGGTGTTGGTCAACAGCAGGCTGAATATGAGCCAGCAGTGTGCCCAAGTGGCTAAGAAGACCAATGGCATCCTGGCTTGTATCAGAAATAGTGTGGACAGCAGGACTGCGGAAGTCATCCTTCCCCTGTTCTTGGCATTGGTGAGGCGCACCTCAAATACTGTGTCCAGTTTCGGGTCCCTCACTACAGGAAGGACATTGAGGTGCTGCAGCATGTCCAGAGAAGGGCAACAAAGCTGGTGGGGGTTCTGGAGCACAAGTCTTATGAGGAATGGCTGAGGGAACTCGGATTGTTTAGCCTGGAGAAATGGAGGCTGAGGGGAGACCCTATCACTCTCTAAAACTACTTGAAAAGAGGTTGTAGTAAGGTGGGTGTCAGTCTCTTTTCCCAAGTAACAAGTGATAGGACAAGAAGAAATGGCCTCAAGTTGCACCAGGGGAGGTTTAGATTAGATACTAGGAAAAATTTCTTCACTGAAAGGGTTATCAGGCACTGGAATGGGCTACTCAGGGAAGTGGTCAAGTCACCATCTCTGAAGGTATTTAAAAGACAGGTAGACAAAGTGCTTAGAGACATGGTTTGGTAGTGGACAGGTACAGTTGGACTCAATGATCTTAAAGGTCTTTTCCAACCAAATGATTCTATGATTCTATGAAATTCACAGAAAGGGCCTGAAATAAGAAAACTGTCATGAAGGATGCTGATTAGTCATTTGGGCAAAACAAAAAATAATTAATGACTACGAGAGAGAGCAGAAACCATTAACCCCAGAAACTTGCTATGTCATTCCTCTGTCTTTTCAGCTGTAACCATTTACAGGGTCTGGCCACTTAGAGACCTCAAAGGCAACCTTTCTGTATAATTCTGTCTTCTGCATATTCAGAAGTATTGTGGCAGAAGTGGAATCTGCAGGGTACACATATTTATAACATATAGTTCCAAAGGAAGTTTGGAATGAGCAGAACCAATTTAAGTGTAACTCAATTAAACTTACATTAATTAGATGCAATTTATAAACAGATTTTATTGCATTTATTACATGCTGTAACAGAAAAATACTTAGTAATATACCGTGCTTCTAAGTTTAAACACCAAATAATACCAAAAGAAACCAAATGGAGCAGTACTAAAGGACAAGGAAATTAATCTTAATCATACCTTCTGTAAGTTGAGTTTTGCACAGTTTCCACTGGAAAAAACAAACAAACAAACAAAACCAATTCAATAAATTTATTTAAAGCATAAGTGAAACTTATTTAATAATTTCCACAATTTGTCTGCTCAAATCTGCCATTATATCTGTCAATCAGCTATTAATCAATCTACTGTGAGGATTTGTTGGACCACTGGACAAACAGGTCCTCAAAGTCATTCTTGTCTATTCCAGTTTTAAAGGTCTCGTTCTATAGAGGAAGATAAAAGTCAATTACATAGCCCACTCTCTTCCAAGCATTTATCCAGTTCATCGGATTGTTTAGCCTGGAGAAATGGAGGCTGAGGGGAGACCCTATCACTCTCTAAAACTACTTGAAAAGAGGTTGTAGTAAGGTGGGTGTCAGTCTCTTTTCCCAAGTAACAAATAGTGTGGACAGCAGGACTGCGGAAGTCATCCTTCCCCTGTTCTTGGCATTGGTGAGGCGCACCTCAAATACTGTGTCCAGTTTCGGGTCCCTCACTACAGGAAGGACATTGAGGTGCTGCAGCATGTCCAGAGAAGGGCAACAAAGCTGGTGGGGGTTCTGGAGCACAAGTCTTATGAGGAATGGCTGAGGGAACTCGGATTGTTTAACAGCAGGACTGCGGAAGTCATCCTTCCCCTGTTCTTGGCATTGGTGAGGCGCACCTCAAATACTGTGTCCAGTTTCGGGTCCCTCACTACAGGAAGGACATTGAGGTGCTGCAGCATGTCCAGAGAAGGGCAACAAAGCTGGTGGGGGTTCTGGAGCACAAGTCTTATGAGGAATGGCTGAGGGAACTCGGATTGTTTAGCCTGGAGAAATGGAGGCTGAGGGGAGACCCTATCACTCTCTAAAACTACTTGAAAAGAGGTTGTAGTAAGGTGGGTGTCAGTCTCTTTTCCCAAGTAACAAGTGATAGGACAAGAAGAAATGGCCTCAAGTTGCACCAGGGGAGGTTTAGATTAGATACTAGGAAAAATTTCTTCACTGAAAGGGTTATCAGGCACTGGAATGGGCTACTCAGGGAAGTGGTCAAGTCACCATCTCTGAAGGTATTTAAAAGACAGGTAGACAAAGTGCTTAGAGACATGGTTTGGTAGTGGACAGGTACAGTTGGACTCAATGATCTTAAAGGTCTTTTCCAACCAAATGATTCTATGATTCTATGAAATTCACAGAAAGGGCCTGAAATAAGAAAACTGTCATGAAGGATGCTGATTAGTCATTTGGGCAAAACAAAAAATAATTAATGACTACGAGAGAGAGCAGAAACCATTAACCCCAGAAACTTGCTATGTCATTCCTCTGTCTTTTCAGCTGTAACCATTTACAGGGTCTGGCCACTTAGAGACCTCAAAGGCAACCTTTCTGTATAATTCTGTCTTCTGCATATTCAGAAGTATTGTGGCAGAAGTGGAATCTGCAGGGTACACATATTTATAACATATAGTTCCAAAGGAAGTTTGGAATGAGCAGAACCAATTTAAGTGTAACTCAATTAAACTTACATTAATTAGATGCAATTTATAAACAGATTTTATTGCATTTATTACATGCTGTAACAGAAAAATACTTAGTAATATACCGTGCTTCTAAGTTTAAACACCAAATAATACCAAAAGAAACCAAATGGAGCAGTACTAAAGGACAAGGAAATTAATCTTAATCATACCTTCTGTAAGTTGAGTTTTGCACAGTTTCCACTGGAAAAAACAAACAAACAAACAAAACCAATTCAATAAATTTATTTAAAGCATAAGTGAAACTTATTTAATAATTTCCACAATTTGTCTGCTCAAATCTGCCATTATATCTGTCAATCAGCTATTAATCAATCTACTGTGAGGATTTGTTGGACCACTGGACAAACAGGTCCTCAAAGTCATTCTTGTCTATTCCAGTTTTAAAGGTCTCGTTCTATAGAGGAAGATAAAAGTCAATTACATAGCCCACTCTCTTCCAAGCATTTATCCAGTTCATCAGTAGTCTTGTGTGTCCCATTTCCCTCTTTTCCTAACTCAGACTGCTTTACCTCCATCATATGCATCTGATGGATCTTAAAAAGTGAAGCAATACTTTTCTACATCATCTGCTTCCACTTCTGACATGCCTTCTACGTGCTGAATTATTTTTTATGACATCCAGGAATGACTAGCTCCCAAAACTACTGATGGAGTTCAAAATAATGATGGAAAAGCTCTGATGTGCATATTCAGGTGAGTATATATTTACTTATCATCAAATGGTTCAAGAACACTTGATGTATTTTAATCAACTTTCCATCTAAGGAAAATGTGCATCTTAAAAACAACAGGAAAAAAAAATAAACAAGGCAAACCAAAAGGATGACACATATCAAAGCAAACTATTCTATGCTTTTATTATATAAATGTACAAAAAATTTTTTGAGTAATACAACACTGAGTCTACTCTTCAATATGCAAACCCACCTCATGATAGTCAAAATTTTTCTTCAAATCATCTAGATGACCCTAAAAGAAAAAGGAAACTTAAAAGCAATCAAATAAACCAGGCACTCTCGGAATCACTGAGGTTGGGAGCCACCTCTGGAAGTCTCCAGTCCAGACCCGCTGCCCAAGGCAGGGTGAACTAAAGCAGATCATCTGGGGTCGTGTCCACTCAGATTTCTAGTATCTCCAAGGATGGAGGCTCTGCAACCTCTGGGAAATCTGTTTCAGTGCTTGTCAACCTCACAGCAAAAAGGCCTTTTCTTATGTGTTAGTGGAATTTCCTGTATTTCAAGTTGTGCCCATTGCCCCTTGTCCTATCACTGGGCACCACTGAGAAG